CTTCTCTTTCCCAGACGCCGTGAGCGACGAGACCGTCGGAATGAGCCCCCCACCCCGTGAGTGAGGAGTCTGTGGTGATGACACATGCAGGTGTAGGCGGCTGGAAAGGAAGCCCCGCACAAACCCACGCTACATCCTGCCACCAGGATAGGGACTGGAGGACAGCAGTAGGCAGTGTGAGTCGAGCCGAGGGGTTGTCCGTGACTGGGTTGAAGGTTGAGACGAACCAATACTGGAGGGGCCTCATGCGTAGCCTGGCGTACGGTGTCACCGCCGTGGTGGACGCCATGTGTCCCAGAAGGATCTGCACCTGCTTGGCCGTCACCTGTCGGGAACGCAGAACCTGATGAACGAGGTCTTCCAGGTTGGCAAAGCGGTCCGCTGGGAGGAATGCCCTCTGCGCGACCGAATCCAAAGTGGCTCCGATGAAGTTGATCCGTTGAGAGGGGACCAAAGAGGACTTGTCGAGGTTCACCACGAGGCCCAGGGACTGGAGAAGGGATAGAACAAAAGAAATTTGGGATTGAAGTTTGTCCCGTGACCTCGAGACGACCAACCAGTCGTCTATATAAGGATATACTGTGACCCCCCTTGTGCGTAAGTAGGCCGCCACCACCGACATGCACTTAGTGAAAACCCGTGGGGCTGTGGACAACCCGAACGGTAAGGTGTTAAAACAATATGCATGGGGGCCCACCATGAAAGCGAGAAACCTGCGGTGGTGGTGGGCGATTGAGATGTGAAAGTACGCATCTTTGAGGTCAATTGTAGCGAACCACACATCTCTAGACAATAAAGGCAAGATGGAGGCAAGTGTGACCATCCGGAATCTTTTCGGCCGGATATATTTATTTAATTGTCTAAGGTCGAGGATGGGTCGCAGCCCACCTCCACGCTTGGAAACCAGAAAATATCTTGAAAAGAAGCAATAGGAAAACATAGAATGGCTTACGGGGGATATAGCCCCTTTCTGCAACAACATTGTAACTTCGCTCAACAGGAGGTCCGAGGGTGGGGTACAACGAACATATCCCACCCGTGGTTGGTCGACAAATTCTATTTCATAACCCATGGCTATGATGGATAGGACCCATCTGTCGGTGGTGATGTTGGCCCATGCCTGGTAGAAAAAGGACAACCTATCACAAAACTGAAGAGAGTTCTCAGGAACCTGCGAAACAACAACAACGGGAACCGGGTCCACTACAACTGGCAGGGACGTTTGAACTAGTTCAGCATCAGCGCTAGGAGCCGCAGCGTCAAAGACGCTTCTTGGCGCCCCCCTGACCCTTAGTCTTGTTATTGAAGGCCTGGTTACGGGGCCTAGGGAAATAGGGGGTTCTTCTCCCACCCTGGAATCTCGGGGAGCTATTGTTCCTGTTTCTGTAGGGACCCCCATAAGAGTTCCCGTAATTCCTCCGGGAATTAGAGGAAGGCCAATTCCACCTCTGGCGTTGCTGATTGTAAGGTTGCCAGACATAACCAAATTTCCCTGCCGCTTGTCGCACGTCTTGTTTCTGCTTTAACCTGTCGTCAGTTTGCGGGTTAAAGAGGCCCTCCTCGTGGAAGGGAAGGTCCTCCGCGAGGGCCTTCCCTTCCTCTGACAGGTTGGCCGCGCGGAGCCATGCGTGCCTCCTGATTGAGGTGGCTGTCGAAAAAAGGTTGCCCGCGGCCTCGGCCATGTGCTTTGCTGAGTCCTTTTGTATCTTGGACAGAATAAGGGCCTCGGCATGAATCGCTTTGGGAAAACGCTGTTGCTCCGCCGGCAATCTTTCAATAAATGGCAGAATCTGTCCCCACAAAAATGTTTGATAACCGCTGGTGTAGGTCGTGTAGTGAGCTATCCTAGCGAATAAGCCTGCAGCAGAATGTGCCTTCCTTCCCAGGGCATCTAGTTTTTTACCTTCCCTGTCTGGGGGTGCCGTTAGTGGGCCCTTGGATCGTTTGGACTTAGCTACTTCTGCCACTACTGTATTGGGCCGAGGGGGAGCCGTGACCCACTTCGCCGAGGACACATCGATTTTATAGAGCAGGTCCAGCCTCCTAGGGATGGCTGGGACCAAGGAAGGGGGCGTATCGGCTACCTTTGCTAGTTTCAACAGGTAAGGTAGAGCGGGCAGGGGAGAGGCTGGGGTCACAACCTGCTCGTCGGAGGGGAACATGGGATCCTCCACATGTTCTGGGGGCTTCGGGGCGGGGATGCCCAAGGCCTTGATCAACCTATCAATAAGAGCGGCAAATTTATTGGCTTCAGCCGGGTGTATGAAAGATGCATTTTCCCCACCCTCCTGCTGGGCAGTATCGTTAGTCTCTTGCTCAGAGTCAGAGGTGGCTAGATCGCCATTCCCTTGCCCAGAGGGCCCCATGGGAGTAGAATCACCTCGGGGATACTGCGCCGGGAGAACCAAGGCGGTAGAATCGTCCTGAAGGAGAGCGCCCCCAGTAGAGGCATGTCTAGTGGGGGGAGGCTGGGGAACGGTCGACACAAAAGCAGCACCACAAGAGTTCAGGTCAGCGGAGTTCATCCCAGAAGGAGGAGGCCTGCAGGCAGGAGCCCCTCCTGGTGCAGCATGGGAGGAAGTCGAAGGTACCGGGATCGGGACCGGGGGCTGCACTCCTGGAGCAGTGAGGGCCCGAACCGCTTGCGGAGCCGAAACAGCCGCTTGCGGGGCCGAAACAGCAGGCATCGGGGCGGCTGGAAAGGGGGCCTGCATAAAGATCATTTGGCCCGACGGGCTCATGTGCCAAAAACCCGGGCAGGGTGCTGGGGCCGGAGGGGGAGGGCCCCACCGGGGCGCTCTAGAGGATCGTGATCTCCTGCTCCTCCTCGAACGGCCTGAGGAGGAGGACGATGTCGAGGAGGATGAGGTGGAGGGGGAGCGAGTGCGCCTCGACGTCGAGCGGCGCCTCCTGTGTCGAGGTCTCACGCTCCTCCTGGAGGGGGACCTGGAGCGCCTCTGCCTCCTGTTCTGCGGACGCGGCGAGCTCCGGAGCCAAGGCTGAGGGAGGGAAGTCGGCGGCGGTGCGGTGGTCGGCTCTGCGGCTTCGGGATGCTGCCTTCCCTGGGGGTCGGAGCGTTCCGTCGCCGCAAGCTCCTCTCGAACGGCTGGTGCTCCCTCCATCGTCGGGGGGGTCAGCCCGGAAGGATTCCCCGGCTGGAGAAGGAGCGGCGGGGTTAGAAGCGTCGAGATCGAAGGAGTCTCCTCGATCACCGGCTCCAGCGGCGAGCCCCGAACTCGGCCCAGGGGCGGAGGAGAGGAGAGCTGCTGAGCCGAGGTGGGCGGAGTTTGGGAGACCATCTCGGCAGCCGGAGCATGCGCGGCTTGCGGAGTCGAAGTTATCACCGCCGAGAAGCTCGGGGTCGACAGCAGGGGGCGCCCATTGACTGGTTGAGCATCAGAAGGCGGCAGGGGCGCGATCTCGCTGCCGGGGACGGGCCCAGTTCCCGCTCTTTCATCGGGAACTTTCTCCTGAGCGGGAGCTTGGCGGCCATCTTGCGTTCCCTGTGGCTTGGGCCTCCTGGCCTTCTTTTTTGCCAGGCTCGCCGGAGCGACCAAAGGTAAGTTGGGCCGTTCTTTGGGCCGACTGGCCGCCTCAGGAGGCATCAGGACTTTCTCATAGAGGGCCGCCCTAAGTCTGTTGACCCTATTCTTTCTCGTCGCGGGAGTGAAAGAGGCGCAGATTTGGCAAGTCTGCGTTAGGTGCGCCTCTCCCAGGCAAGTTAGACATAAGGAGTGCCCGTCCGTATCCGGAAGGATATTCGGGCACTTAGAGCATTTTTTGAAAGAATTAGTGGCCATTACTATGGCGCAGGGTCGTCAAACGGTCCGGAGTCAAAGAGGGTTGCAGACCTGAGGCGATGAGAGGGCTAGACGAAGAGTAGTCAAAACAGTCCGGGTCAGATATACAGTGAGTCCGTGAGATAAGGGATCGTCAATCAGTCCAAGGTCAAACGAAAATCAGTCAGATGGATAGAAACTCTAGCTAGAAGGTCCTCTAAGCTGCGAACACGCGAGCGGAAAAAAGAGAACTGTCGGCTAGCCCCGCCCATGGGCTATATATACTCGGGAGGGGGGGGGGCGGGTCTAGCTGAGGGCAAATTGTTTCTTTACTTTCTAGAAGGTTCCGTTAGCTGTACTGCGCAAGCGCAGAGATACCAAATGTACAATTCACAGGGACTACGACATGAAACTAAACATTAAGGGTGAAAGCATTATAAAAAGGTATAAAATGATATGGAATAAATTGGTCTGACAAGTCAGTACACTAAGTATACCGAGCAGATACAAATAATAGCAGTCCTTGAAATGCAGCATGCTAGTAATTTTGCAAAGCAGATCAAGAAAGCATACTGTCTCTGTTCACAGTGTGTCCTTTTCCCTCAGGCTATAGAGGAAAAGATTCAGGTTTTAAAGGTGACTTTTCCTCTGCACATAATCAGATTTATGGAAAGGAGTTTGACAGCTGTGAAATCTTGACAGGAAAACTCTCTCTTCTCCTACTGCAATTTCATTTGTGTTGTTGATAGATCCACTGCATTTAATTTATTTCAAATGGTGGGGGATGGGGTGTCATTTCATGAAATCAATTAAGGATTTCCCAGTCAAACTACTCAACTTCTCCTCTTTTTTTGACAAGAGCTTATTTTTTAAAGGAAATACACACAATTTCTAACTAGTATAAATAAAATGGATGAGTCTATTTAAATGCTAAATAAGAGGATTTGAATCGTTCCGGTTTCTACAATTCATCGTTATTGTGCCTTTTCCCTTTTCACATGTAATTTTACCTCTTAAGAAAACAAGATCCCACAGAGAAACATCCCAGCTTCTATTTATTTTACTACCCAGAGAAAGAGCAGTATTTGAACTGATGATGGCAAACATTCCAACCTAGTGACCACTGACTTTCTTTCCTCTGGCTAATTACAGAGTGCTTAGTCCACTGCCTTTCTGGATTTCTGACTGGACAGCCTCTACATTCCTTGACTAGTAAATCACCTTATGCTGGGAGAGCTGCATCTTAATTTTGTCTGGATCATTTGCAATTTCAAGCTCCGCATCCAAAGTTTTTTCTGATTCATCTAGCCATTCTGTAAGCTTGTTCCAAGCTTCATGGAACTGTGAAAACAAACACATCAATTCCTTTCACTTGCATTCTCTGAAACTAATAAATATTACATTCAAAACATTTAATATTCATCCAGGCTTGAAAATATTAAAAGTTGAAATAATATTCAAAGTTACTGACTTAACATTGAAAGATATCTATTCTTACAGTCACTTCTGTGTTGCATTTCATAACAAATACCTAATTCTTCCACACACACACACACAAATCCAGACATATCAATATACAAGGAGAAATGATGTTTTTAATAGTACATTGAAAAAACATACGAGTAAACCAAACTGTATTAGATGGCAATTTAAACCCAGGATTTTCATGTTCCATGCATAAATCCCCTGTCTCACTGAGATGATTCACATAAGTGATATTATACGATCCTTATGCAGAAACAGTACAATCTCAATTTTAACATTTCCATGGTATAGAATGGAAATATGCATCGGGGGGCAGAGGGGATGGACAACTGTATCTAACGTTTCATGCAGATGTGATATTAATCCATACACAATCCATTGGTTTAATATACATGGAAACTGAAACAACCTGAAATGTACCACTCGGGCATGATTTCACCCTGAATCTTCTTTTCCTGGTTTAAGAATCTAGGCAAAGCAGGCCTGTTCAAGCCAATTTCAGGTTAACTCCCCAAAAATTTTGGAAAGAAGGAAAATATATGTCAAGGCAAAAAAGAAATGGTAATTGGCTAAGGGGAAAGGGGATTCTGTGGAATTATCGATGAAGTTTGAAAGAGTAAAAGCTATTCCACATCTTTCAAAAAATGCTGTTCACATGTAAGGGGGAGTATGTTGTACCCTGATATAATACAAGGAGATCATCAATGAATCTCTACACATAAGTTACTGTATATACTTGAGTATAAGCTGAGTTTTTCATTCCTTTTTTAGGCTGAAAAAGCCTCTCTCGGCTTATACTTGAGTCAAGGTTATTTATTATTTTACTCTGTTGTTATTATTATTATTATCTCCGAACGCATCTCCACCTATGAACCGGCAAGGGCGTTAAGATCGTCCGGGGAGGCCCTGCTCTCGGTCCCGCCAGCGTCACAAGTGCGGTTGGCGGGCACGAGAGACAGGGCCTTCTCGGTAGTGGCCCCTCGGCTATGGAATGCGTTACCAGTGGACATCAGGCAGGCCCCTTCGTTGCTGGTGTTTCGAAGGAGGGTTAAGACGTGGCTCTATGAGCAGGCATTCGGTTAGCTATGCAGTAACAACCACCCAATAATGACGGCATTGAACAAGGATTGAATTAAGGACTATGAGAACGGGATCTGATTCTAAGTAGGCGTTGATGATTATGTGTATTGTTTGTCGATGTACGTCTTATATATTGTTCACTGTTTATTTTTACTGTAAACCGCATTGAGTCGCCGCTCCAGGCTGATAAATGCGGTATACAAATGGAGTAAATAAATAAATAAATAAATAATTATATTTTACTCTATTATTGTTATTACATTTTTATTTTACTCTATTATTAATACATTATTGTTTTCTCTATTATTGTTATTATTACATTTATTATTTTACTCTATTATTACTGTTATTATTACATTTCCATTATTTTACTCTATTATTATTACTTTATATTTATTATTTTACTCTATTATTATTGGAAGGATACGTAAGCACATTTACATTGAAGAAGGTTAGAATAATGGTTTAATCAGAGTTGGACAGTCTTAAATTACAGTTTTTATGTAAATATTCAAAAACATTTAACCTACTGATGCCTCAATTAATGTAATTTTATTGGTATCTATTTTTATTTTGAAATTTATCAGTAGCTGCTGCATTTCCCACCCTCAGCTTATACTCGAGTCAATACGTTCTCCCAGTTTTTTGTGTAAAATTAGGTGCCTCAGCTTATATTCAGATCAGTTTATACTTGAGCCAGGCCCGTAGCCAAGATTTCGATTCGGGGGGGGGGGGGCTGAGTTTTGTGGGGGGGGGGGTTGAGTGAAAACGGACCTTACTTAAAAAATACCCCTCGTATGTTGTGTATGGTATTGAATGTTTGCCATGTATATGTACATTGTATTGTCGAAGGCTTATATGGCTGGAATCACTAGGTTCTTGTGGGTTTTTTCGGGCTATAGAGCCATGTTCTAGAGGCATTTCTCCTGACGTTTCGCCTGCATCTATGGCAAGCATCCTCAGAGGTTGAGGTCTGTTGGAAGTAGGAAAAATGGGTTTATATATCTGTGGAATGGCTGGGGTGGGGCAAAGAGCTCTTCCTTGCTGCAGTTAGGTCCAATGGATACTCCACCCCACATCAGAAGAACTGCAAGACCGAGAACAAGATGAAGATCCACCCAGAGGAAAAGTGTTCTTCATCAATGGAACCACTGACCGCATAGGGAAGCTGATGAGGAAACACAACATACAAACAATCTACAAACCCACCAAGAAAATCCAACAAATGCTACGTTCAGCAAAGGACAAGAGGGATCCTCTCACCTCTGCAGGAGTCTACCGTATACCATGCAGCTGTGGACAAGTCTACATAGGGACCACCAAACGCAGCGTCCAGACACGCATCAAGGAACATGAAAGGCACTGCAGACTACTTCAACCAGAGAAGTCAGCCATAGCAGAGCACCTGATGAACCAAGCTGGACATGGGAGTTATTTGAGAACACAGAAACGCTGGACCACTCTCACAACGAACATGTCAGACTACACAGAGAAGCCATTGAAATCCACAAGAATGTGGACAATTTCAACAGAAAGGAAGAAACCATGAAAACGAACAAAATCTGGCTACCAGTATTAAAAAAACTCTAAAATTACAACAGCAAAACAACAGAGAGGAAACAACCAGGCACAGAATAACACCTCCCAGCAAGAGATTTTCCCAGGCTCAGGCAGGCCTTCAAATGCTAATGAAGGTGGTCAGTTGAAACATTCACACCTAACTGCAGCAGGGAAGAGCTCCTTGCCCCACCCCAGCCATTCCACAGATATATAAACCCATTGTCCTAATTCCAACAGACCTCACTACCTCTGAGGAGGCTTGCCATAGATGCAGGCGAAACGTCAGGAGAAATGCCTCTAGAACATGGCTCTATAGCCCGAAAAAACCCACAAGAACCTAGTTTAAATAATGCAACAGTAAGGCCTTTTTGCGAACCACCATGAGAATTTCGGGGGGGGGGGGGCTGAGCCCCCCAAGCCCCCCCCCCACGGCTACATGCCTGACTTGAGCATATAGAGTATTTTCCAAGAACATTGTGGGATGGTACTGAACATTCATACCTGTTGCACTCAAGACTTTAAAAGCATCATATAATTCATTTAAACATGGTGCAGTTACAGTACAGCTTCCCCTTTGTTGTTGTAAGACATCTGTCATGTTACCTGTTTGGCACGCTTCCTTGCATCATCCAAAGCTCTTCCCCGTTCCACTAACCGCTGAACCACCTTTTCCCACCTACTCTGGACACTGATCAGCAGATTCTTAATGAGGACAACATCTTGCTTCTGGCTGAAATATTTCAAATGGGTTCCAGTTTTATCGAGCTCAATGATCTGGTCACGATGGGCATTCACTTCATTAGCAAAGACCTTCCAAAATAAAGAAGACAATTTTTGAAAGATTTACAGTCCTCTAGCATGCAAAAATATATATGGATCGAATAGAAGCTATAAAATGTCTTTGGGTTTTAGTGTTACTGGTTTGTTTGTTTTACCATTAATGCAAACCAGGCCACAAGTGAAAGCTATGAAATCTAGTACAAGTATGGGCAAACTTCAGCCCTCCAGGTGGTTTTGGACTTCAACTCCCACAATTCCTAACAGCCTATTGGCTGTTAAGAATTATGGTTTGAAATCCAAAACACCTGGAGGACCAAAGTTTTCCTATGCCTGATCTAGTGCCATTCATTTTCCTACCTTGTGTTCATCAATTTGAAACAAGACAGTATCCAAGATTAGACTTGGCCGAGAAGCCACTGTCAGTGTTTGCTCAGCTTGAGTAAGCCAGTTGATGAAGTCTTGCAGTGAATTGTGGAACTCCACTGCCAAACTGAGGGCTTCTTCCAGTTTGATCTGCAAAAACATAACATAATTCAGCAGCAGAGAGTTGTAAACTATGCTATATTTGAACATAATATGGAAGAAGGCCACTGTTGTTGGACCTCTTCCTCTCACATCCCATCATTATTCCAGGTTAACATTAATACACTCTAGACTCAAACAGCAAACAGATACACAGATAAAGATATATGTGGAAAAGAGCAGAGGAGATAATTAATTGGGACTAAGTGGGGTAAAGAAAATACACATTTCTACAAATCAAAGAGGTCCTGGAATCAGAGCTAAAGCATGAAACTTACAGGGATTTGAACAGGAAGCCAGCAGAAACATACGTGGGCTTTTAAGATCTAATTCTGCTTTCTGGAATTGTGAGCACATTCTCTAACAAAGAAGTCAAGAAGCCATTTCGCTAACTAAATCACACATTCTGTCATTGCAATTTGCACTATAGGGTCATTCTAGATGCAAAACAAAGGCCCTATTAAGACATTTAGTGGCTGGCAAGAGCATTTGTGCAGAGGAGCAACAGCTCTGTCTGACCTCCACTAAATGGGAAAAAAATATCACAAATCAGGGGTCAAAATGGGCTGTGAATTATCTTTGCAGGGGATGGGAAAAGATATACTCATTCCACCACTCTGCCAAGATTCTTGTGGTTCCAGTTAATATCTGATTCATGCCTCAAATAACCAAAGTGATCATGAATTTACATTACATGAGAAATGAGAGCACAAATGGTTCTTTCCCTTCACTCTTGGGCTTTTTTTGTGAAGACATCACATTTCAGCTGCTTTCAGGTTAATTTGTAGTCTGACACAGATTAAATTGTTGAGCTGCTTCAAGTAATTTCAAAAAGAATCCCCACCCTAATGGAAACCTAATGTTATGAGTAAAATGTTGTTGCTATATTTTGCTATATGAGGCTACCTCAAAGGACTCAATAGAGGCCTTATCTATTTAAACTTTAAAAAACGGTTATGTTTACTTCAAAGCTGATAGGGTGATGGTTTCACTGGCTAGAAAGGATTCATATATCACTTGGATATTCAGCCTATAAATACGTTGCAAGAGGAAATGTCTTCATTTAGAGATTTTAGTCTACTGCCATACAGTATAACAAGTTTTGTCATACTGTATGATTGTCTTGACAGTATTAATAAACTTGTCCATATCAATGTCTGTATGTAATATATCCCACTGGACAGATACTAAGGCTATTGTACTACCAACAACAAACAAAACAAAATTTCCTTGACAACCACAGAGGATTTGCTTATGTTCATATGATAGCATACCTTTCTTTCATTAAGCTTTGTTTCCACGGATTCCCATTTTTCTTTCAGATTATTTATGTCTTGATCAACATTTGTTTCAACAGACCCTGGGCAGCTTGCAAGCAGGCCCTTTTGCATCAGGCATTTGTATGTTTCCTCCTTAGCTTCAAATGCAGCACAGAGTTCCTAAACAAAAGGGGGATAACCCAATCATGAACAAATACACATTAATTCTACAATCATTGCCTTTAAAAATGTCGCTGTTTTTTTAAAAAAAGCAACTAGAACAGGAATGCTTAAGTCTATCTATATGGTTAGTTGAATAATAAAGTGCTACTGTGCCATGGAGAATGTGCACATTAATAAATGCTATGGAGGATGTGCACATAAAGTAGCAGGATGCAATTAATTAATGCACTGTCTAATCAATATCCATTTATATAGAAAAAGCATGATCGATCAAAAACCTAAATTAAGTGTCTTACAGAGATCTTCTGGATGTATTATATCCACAATACATCTTTTTATGTGTGAATATTTTCAACCCTTTTCTGGTAGGCAACCCTCAAGATTCATGTGCATTACTAGATTTGCAATCAAAATTGTAGGAACCCAATAGCCTCCCTTTTATTACCATCATACTCTGCCATTACATGAAGACACTGCATTTCCACACCTGGGATCCACAAGTCAACAGTTAAATTCCAGGAGAAAGGCTGTACTACTTCTAGGTGCACACTATTGCAGATTGGCTTAGTTCCCCTTCGCTTCTGGTGTAAGAGAATGGGCTATCTGCAGAGACATTGCTCAGGGGATGCCTGGATGTGTTACCATCCTGTGGTAGCCTTCTCTCATATCCCCGCATGGGAAGATGAACTGACAGACAGGAGCTCACCCCATCTTATGAATTCAAACCGTCAGCCTTCATGTCAGTTCAGCTTGCCCACTGAGTCACTGTAGCTTTTGATATGAACCCTGGATATATTGAAGAGAATTCCATGGAGAGGGGAAAGCAATGATGTTGTTTCAGGGGTCCGGTTGCTTCTGGTTGCTGCTGCTACTTCCCTACCCAGGCATGTAAAATGGCCAGAAATGGTACCATAGTGGAAAGAATAGAGGGGGTTGGTGCTTCTTTTGGATTCTCCTGCGTGGCCTTTTGCCAGATGACTCAGCAAAGGGAATTGTTCCTCTTTGATAAGAGATAAGGTACTGTGCTGATATTAACCAGTGGACAAGTCAACCCAGGTTATGAGAGTTAATTTTTCTAGATTTATACATGAATATATAGAGTACTGCATGTGTTTCTGTCAGTTACAGGGTACTAGACTGTGTATTTAACTTTCTGAATGAAAATATTCAGTTTGCCAAGTTTCCAATCATCATATTTAAAGGAAAGTGAAACCCCACACAGTACATTGTGAATCTACTTGGTATATTTTAATTTGTACCTATTGTCTTCGATTGCCAGGGGTCACCTTTGACTTGACCTACAAGTGGGAGACTTTGAAATAAGCAAGCTTTTGTAAGAAACATTTACCTAGATTAGTATGCAAAAAGAGCTTTGCTTTGGACATAGTAAACTGAACTTTAAAAAATGACATAACTCAAGAAGAGGGAATCCTCCCATATTTCAGGCTATGATGGCTATGATCTTGCAAGGAAAATGTTTATTTGTTCAGTTGTTTCCGACTCTCCATGACCTCATGAACCAGCCCACATCAGAGCTCCCTGTCGGCTGTCACCACCCCCAGCTCCTTCAAGGTCAAGCCAGTCACTTCAAGGATAACATCCATCCATCTTGCCCGGTAGGCCCCTTTTCCTTCTTCCTTCCATTTTCCCAGCATCATTATCTTTTCCAAGTTATCCTATCTTCTCATTATGTGGCTAAAGTATTTCATCTTTGTCTTTAGTATCCTTCCCTCCAGTGAGGAGTCGGGCTTTATTTCCTGTAGTATGGACTGGTTTGAAAGTGCTGGTCCAAGGCACTCTCAAAATGTTCCTCCAACACCACAGTTCAAAAGCATCTATCTTCCTTCACTCAGCCTTCCTTATGGTCCAGCTTTCACATCCATAGGTTACTACGGGGAATACCACTGCTTTGACAATGTGGATCTTCGTTGCCGTTGTGATGTCTCTACCCTTAACAATTTTATCGAGATTGGCCACTGCTCTCCTTCCAAGAAGTAAATGTCTTCTGATTTCCTGGCTGCAGTCTGCCTCTGAAGTAACCTTTGCTTCTAGAAATACAAAGTCTGTCACTGCCTCCACGTTTTCTCCCTCTATTTGCCAGTTATCAATCAGTCTGGTTGCCATAATCTTGGTTTTTTGAAAACCATATGGATCACTACAACCAGAGATGATTAATAAGCATGCGGCTAATTTAAAACTGCAGGTCAAGGGTGCAATCTGATGGACATCTCCTAGCGATATAGAACAAAAAGCATGGAGTATTCCAGCTTTCCCTCCTGTCTTCCTCCCTGCTCTTTTTTGGTACAAAAATGTAGAGAGAAAATGGTGGGAAAGGATAGGAGAATTAGAAAGAAAGATATATATATATATATATACACACACAGTGTCTATAAAATGCTGTTTTTGAAGCAGGGCAATTGCACATAAAAGGCATGATTTGGAAGCACCACGGGTATCTTATATTCCTAGAGACAGGCAACATTTAATGAGATTTTGGCTCTGAATTGAGACTCCTGCTTCATTAAGACACTGAAAAGAAAAGAAGAATACAACTGTGCTCTCGGGCACTTTGAAAGGAGCAGATTCTTTGTCACTTTGTATTGGTAATGGGAGTTATGTGATGACGGGCCAAGAAATATTAATGGGCAACGGCAAAGGTTCTGAGTTCCTTGGCTAGCTTTTTCTTCCTGTTTATAAAGGAAGAAATTTTGCTGTTTCAAAAGTTATAGAACAAAGCAACAGACTCTCTACTTTGAAGCTGGGGGTAGATTAAAAATAACTTACAAATACATTTATAGTTAAATACCAGGGCCACAAAAATACCCTTACCTTCTTTTTCGCCCTGCAAAATAATGCTGAGGATAGCTTGGTCATACAGATGCACCACTAAATCAGTTTTGTAACATAGTGATTTACAAAAAAAGTCAGGGAGGAGAGGAGAGTCTTCTCATTAAGCAATCTTACAGGCCTTTCACTGCACAAAAATTGCAAATGTTTCACTATGAACGGCCACAAAGATTTTATTTTCAAATGAGGACCATCTGCAATATTAAGATCCTTACCATATGGGTATTAAGCTGCTCTCTTGCAGTCTCTGGTAAACCACCAACAGGCTTCGATGCCAAAAGTTGACGTTCAGTTTCTGTCAGCCATTGCTGCAGATCTTCAACTTCACCATGGAAACCTTGAGCCTAAATGATACATCACCACAGCATTTCAGAACATATTTCAATACTTTTAATTTGCTACATCAGCTAAGGGGCTGTAAAAGAAGATTGTATTAAATTCAGGCTTTTAAAGGAAATGCAACTAAACCTGAGACACCCTCTAGGTGGTTAAACTGACAGTTGTATATATAATGAAATGTTGCTGAACATAATCAAAAGGAAAACTCTCCAACATTACAGAGGTTATATGAAGCTTGAAATGGATAGACAAATGTATGCATTTAATCCTTAGAGGTTTCACTTTGCAGTCTAGCAATGAGGGAAATTAATATGTCTGCAAGACTAATTGAAAATACAGGACAAAAATCACACATAAAGATGCATGAAATTGATAGATTTAGTCTAATTAGACACTAGGAGAAATGAGTTTTTATATAAACAAAAAACTGGGGAACCGGTAGCCCTCCAGACACCGAGGAAATGCTTATTTCCACAATCCCTGAACACTGGCCAATCTGGCAACATCTGATGGGAATGATGTCAGACAAGACCTGCAGGGCAAAGGTTCCTCAATCTTTGTATAGTAAATTGCTACTTCAATGGGATTGTCTACACCACTCTCCAATCCCATATTCATTAAGTATAGACTGCTGGTAGCCTCCATGACACTGTAAACAGACTTTGCCCCACTTTGGGTAAAGTCAGCAGATACTTCAGAGTTTGCTTGAAACTCTGAGGCTTTGGGGCAATCTGGACATTTGGACCAGGTCTTATTTGGTCCAGACAGACACTCTGAGATCACCCTTTTTCTGCACTGATTAGTACAGAGTAAGGGAAGTGGTTGTGCCAGTGTCATTGCTGTCACTCGCCCTTCCTACATGAAGAGCGCCATCCAAGCTCCTGGCTGTCACTTGTTGCATCTAAGAAGTCAGAATGGGGCGACCAACAAGAAGAAGGGGAGATCCATTTCTTACTTCTTGTTGGTCATAGAGGAAACCCTATCTGACATCAACAAAGACAGCCACAGTAGCCAGATCTCAGACAAAACTCCATAGTCAGCTAGGAGTTGAGTGACAATGCAAAAGATGTGACAGCCCAGCAGAATCAATGTGGTGCTGGTCTGTACAGACAATGACCCCAGACTCTGCATGTATTGGCTAGATCTACACCAGACTACTCTTAACAGTGAGACTCTAGGACAATAGTTCTCAACCTGGGGTCCCCAGATGTTTTTGGCCTTCAACTCCCAGAAATCCTAACAGCTGGTTAACTGGCTAGGATTTCTGGGAGTTGTAGGCCAAAAACATCTGGGGACCCCAGGTTGAGAACCACTGCTCTAGGACTTCCAAGAGTTCAATTTTGGCTGGAATAGGACCAAGTCAATCCATTCAATGCAATCCATTTGAACCCAAACCAATCAATTTGCTGCAATCTATTTAATCCATTGTTTTGTTCAGTTTTTCATACAGACCTGGATCAAAGCACTGTCCAACTGTTGCTTCCTTTTTTCTGTTTTTTCCAAGAGATTTTGCCATCGCTGATTCAAAAGTTCCAGCTTGCTTTGTAAGTTGCTTGCTTCTTCAACGGCACTTGATTGAATCAGGTCATTTCCTGCTTTTTTAACAGTTTCCACGGTGGACTGGTGAGCTAAGACATCATTTTGCAGCACCTGCAGTCGCAAATATATTATGCTTTAGTTTGTTTTTTAAAACCACTGATTTCATCCAAGACAATTGTGTGAAGTAGCCCCAACAACATTATATTGTATAGTACTCATTATACATTATATTTCATAATATATAGCACGGTCTCCAAGATCTGCCGGAGAAGTCCTTCTTTTGGTCCTACTTCTGTCTCAAGGGCAAGAGAGGGGGCCTTCTTGGTGGTGGCCACCCGGCTCAAGAATGCCATTCCTGAAGAGATTGGGTTAGCCCCCTCTCTCCCAAGTTTTCTGCTCTAGCCTAAAAACAGGGCTGTTTAAACAGGCCTTCTACCTGTAGATTCCAATGGTTAGACTGAGGACTTTGCTTCACAGCCAGTTTTACCCGCAGGGACGACTATGTTTTATATATTTTAATATTATATGTATTGTTTACTTTGGAGTGCTTTTGTGAACTGTCCTGAGTCCCTTTGGAGAGATGGTGGCGGGGTATAAATAAAGTTTATTGCTTTTTATTATTATTTAGAAATAATATACATTTCCTAAGAAACTGAACTTGAAATATCTTCAATCAGTGATACAACAAGTACTAAAGGATGTATCGTCTTCTGAGGACAACTGATCCCAGGGCCAGTTAGTACTTGGATAAGACACATCAGGATATATTGGGGGTGTCAAGGTAAGGTTAGGAAAGAATCCTGCCTCAAACCAAGGGAAGGTACTGGTAGCAGTCAACACAGAGCTTGATGGTCCATTACCTTAATTCAGCATTACACAGCTCCCTACATTCCCCTTGTTCTTCGGTAAATATATTTCTACTATTTTAAAGCAATTTTTTCATCATAGAAACAGATGCCATTTTCTTTTATATTCTGATTTTGTGTGTGTCAAGAACAAATTGAGAAATTGCAAGTCGCTTCTGGTGTGAGTTAATTGGCTGTTTGCAAGAATGTTGCCCAGGGGATGCCCGGATGTTTTACCATCCTGTGGGAAGCTTCTCTCATGTTCCTGCACAGAAAACTGAAGCTCACCCCACTCCCCGGATTTGAACCTTTCAATCAGCAGTTCAGCCGGCACAATGGTTTAACTCATTGCTCCACTAGGATATTTTTTTAATCAATGGCTATTACTTGCCACCTTCCTGGAGTTCCTGATCATCAAAGAAAAAGCTATATTCTGTGATGTCTTTCTAGCTGAAACCTTTTTGTATCTGTCATTCATTTATGGTCTGGATATTATATGACAGTTTACCAACAATACTTTTTTGATAAATAAGATAACGGTGGCTATTTCTATGCAGCAATTCCTTTGCATCAGCAACTTGGTTTCTTAGAAACTATTACTTTAAGATGTACATTTTATTTGTAAGTATTGTCAAACGAGAGAGAGAGAGAGAGAGAGAGAGATGAAAGAGAGAGGGAAAGGGAGGGGGAGGGAGAGATTGGGAGGTCTCAAAATATCTATCAACAGTGAGGTATAGAATTATGAGTTACATACATGGTGTTTGGCCAATTCAATTTCAATAGCCTTGGGGTCAGAACCCACAGGTTTCTGATCATTCAACAGGTCTTCTGTATGCGTCAGCCATGTCAGCAACTCATCCAGGGCATGCTGGAATTGCCCCAAAGCCAACAAAGCACCCTCCAGTTTGTGCTGTAATAAAACAGGAAAATGGAAATTCTTACATTATGCTAAGCCTATCAGTATGTTAACACAGGTTCAGCCCAATGAAATCTCAAATGAATGATGTGAATAAAGAAATTCCATCCAAACATTATGTCATACAACTGCAAGCAGGAATACTATCTGTAAGCAATGTTAGAAAATATCAATGAAAAGCACAGTCTATAACATCCATAACTGATTCAAGTTATGGATGTTATAGATAATTTGGACAGGCATTTGTTCTTCAATTATCCACAATACAGAATAGTAATGTCAAAATTAACTATTTTTATTGATCATGAGATTGTACATATGGATGAGTCTTGTGTTACAGGCTTCTACGAGGTTCCCCACAAAGATGATAGTACCCTGGTTAACACTGCAATTCTACAAATGTCTACTCCAAAATAAATCCCAGTGTGAAATGAAATCAATTGAGTACTTCAATGAGAATTATCTCCAGACAAATTATCTCCAGGTAAATATATACAGTACAAACGGGTAACCTTTAGAGATGGCATAGGTTTAAAAACTAATTAAAGAATTTGTTGTTGAACGCCTGTGGACAATTTCAACAGAAAGGAGAAAACCATAAAAATTAACAAAATCTGGCTACCCTCTAAAATTGGGACAGTAAAGAAAGAACAACACAGGAAACAATCAGCTCCAGCTAACACCTCCCAACAAAGGATTCACCCTAGGCAGGAAGCAGCCAGGCTTTGAAGCTGCAAGGCTAATAAATGCTAATCAAGATGGTCAATTACAACATTCAGACTCGCCTCAGGCTGACAGAGTTCTTTCTCCCACCCTGGACGTTCTACAGGTATTTAAACCCCACTTGCCTAGTTTCCAACCAACCTCACAACCTCTGAGGATGCCTGCCATGGATGTGGGTGAAACATCAGGAGAGAATGCTTCTGGAACATGGCTATACAGCCCGAAAAACTCCCAGCAACCCAGTAATTAAATACTCAGGAAACTTTGCAAGAATTAAGTGTATAAGCTTTGCCATGTAATGCTATTTTCTGTTAGTTGTATACTACTTGCTGAAACACACACACAAACATATAACAGGCAAACAAGTATACAACGAATCAAGAAGGAAACATCTTATAATCTTCTGATAAAAAATACATTCATTTCATAAAAGGGAATAAAATGGCTCAATCTTTATGCTGGTAGAGTGGCCATTAATTGTGCTATTAAGGACTGCACAGACATGTGTTTGCAACATATGAAGGCACACTGCCATTTGCAATATGTCTGTATAAGAATTCTTGCTTACCTGACGGCTGACGATTTTATCCTCCAGACTTTCCCACAAAAGTTTGAGTTCAGATAAAGGTTCTTGTACAGTATGCTTATCACTCTCCTCGGTCACTTTTTTCAGTAATAGTTCTGCTTGATGGTTCAGTCGTTCCATTTCTATCTGTTGCTGATAGGCTTCTTTCTTAAATTGCTGTTGAAACACAGGATCACAGAAGGGGGATATATCATTGGAGAAGGACATTGTGTTCACTCTTTATTACCACAGTGGCTTGTCAGTCATATAGAGTTGGATCTAGGCTTCCAGGGAGGCTCTTGCTGGTGAAAGAGATAGGGGAGGCAATTTTTGCTTCCCCATGAAGCATCCCCATTTGCCCCCAAAATCTGCTCTGGACAGTAGTCATGGGCCTGGTTACTGTTTCATCCATTTATTTCATGTTTTTGTTCTATTTATTTCATTCGGATGGCATGAAACAGTTCAACCCCCCATGGTACGAAAATAATAGTGAAATAAAAGGAATGTAGCAATGGTAACCATGTGGTTGTCTGATTTTCAGGCCACGTGGTGCGGCCCAGGGAGTATTTCCGCATTGCTTTACCGCTGACCCAAGTTGGGCCAATCAGAGGAGAAGAATGTAGTGAAGTCAACATGCACTGCTCAGGGTATTTATTGGGGCGACCGCCCCCAAAGCGCACATTGCGTGGCGCACTTCTGTTGGTGCTGGAGCTTGCTCCTGTGCCTGCTTGCCTTGCTCCCAGCCAGCCACTGATGTTTGCCCTAGCTTGGCTGCTTGTGCTTGGCTGCTGGCATCTTTTTGATTTCTTTATTTTTATTTCATTCTTTATATTTTTATTTAAAGGGACTGGCAGTTTTGAAAAGATGGGGGGTGGGTTGCGCCGGGTATTGCACTTTGGTGCTAGCCCATGAGGGGGCAAGAGGGGCTTTGGGGAGAAGGGCATCTCCCCAAATGCCTATTTGGAAAGACGCCATTTTTTAAAGATGCACTTAAATACAAAAACAGGGCCATATAAATGAAACAAATAGAAATGGATAGGGATTCTATACACATGCACAAGACTTCTAGACAGTGCAGAGTGACCAGCCAAAGGCAGAATCAGCCAAAAACTATTCAATGGACTCCTTCTATGAAACCTTAAAGTCAGATACCTTTCCACAAATACACTGGATGCACCTATAGTACAGTGAGAAAAAGCATCTTCGCTACTCTCTTGCTACTCTCCAGTAGGTGACCATCATTCACTATCACCCTTCCCTCCAATCTAAATAATCTTCTAAAGCTTGTTTTCATTTGTAAACTAATGATGTAACCCCAATTCCAATGTGAAGTCATGGCAGAGAGAAAGGCATAACTACTGATAAGTACATTTTTCCTGTTAATTTTTTACAACTTGTCCACTTATGCTCTATAACAACAGAAACAGAATAGGTCATCTAGTCTAATCCTTTGCCCTAAAACAGGATATCCTATACCATCTCTGCTTCCTATGTAAAAAAAAACAAAACACAATAGCATCCAGGTATTATGAGCAGAATGAGTCATATTCCTCTTCCAAATTTGCTTTTAGAGTTCGTTGGGGATTTTTGTTTCCAAGCACAGCGAACTGCAGTGGAAATTAAGTGATCTCTGAGTATTTAGAATGATCCATGTTATCAAAAACAACAGACTTTGCAGAAACTTGCACACATTTCAAAAAGGAAGCTGAATGTCATAAAAGTAATTGATGCAGTGAGAAAAAAAATGACCTTTTAAAAAGCTCACAACCAACCTTTAGAGGAAATTGATGTCATATTACTTTCAGGCGGTAGGTTTAAAATGACATGCTCATATGGAAATAATTTACTTTTATTACAAATTGAATGCAAAGTAATTCTGGACACTGCCCTTCACAGAAAGATGTTAAACAAGAGGAAGTTAGCATTTCATACCTTCAGTTCTTCTGTTTGTTGTTTCACTGTTTCTAGATCTGTTCCAACTGGTGACATTGAGGCTAATTTACTACCTGCGATATCCACCCAGTCAAATATTGCCTGTAAAGTAGGATATTAAATTAATACTGTATAAATAGGTGTAACAGTAAGGAAAATAACACTGTATTATTGATATCAACTCACAGAACTTGTTTTTAGAGATGTTTGTGCAGCATTTAATAGCATATATATTGTGTATCAAAAGCACAAATCTTTCGCTGAAAAAGAAATTGAAGAGTTTGCTGACTTAGTCCCACCTCTCTCTGAAGTATGCACTGTCTATGGAAGAGTCTTTCTGGATGGCAGCCAGTGCTAACTGGTAAGATAGTGTAGGACCCAAGGCTAAAAGGATAAATAGCTTTTAGATTAAGTACTAGGACCAATAGATGAATGCTGAAAGGGGCAAAATCGTATTTCTGGGAGCCAAGAGTGAAATGAAACAATAAAATTACAGCCCGTGACTTAGACAAATTCTTAGATGGGCAAACCATGGGGGAAAAATAATGCTTTTTAATATACTTTTACTCTTGATTACTTACAAATTACCATGACCCCCCCCCCTCGCCACAAACACCAGCAAGTTATTCAATACTACACAATCATCCCTCTGTTGCTGCAATTAAATAGAATAATTAAAGTTTTTTTTAATGATTCACCATATAAATGTAGGAATGTCTCCTGAAACAGCAAACTATTCCTGGATTTTAAACAAATGATTTATTCTGAGCATTAGAATCAAATCGATAGATTTTCTTATTGGGAATAATGTCTGTGAAACAAGGAATTCCTATAAGTTTGCAAATGATCCAATGAATACTGACTAAATAAGATTTAACAAGTTCATTGATACAAGAATGGAATATTGGAAAATCTGAGATACAAATTACTGAAAAAGGCCCAATTGTCTAAAAAAATATAAATATTAACATTAGGGTAAAGGTAAACATTTTCCCTGACATTAAGTCTAGTTGTGTCTGACTCTGGAGGTGGTGCTCATCTCAATTTCTAAGCCAAAGGGCCGGCGTGGTCCGTAAACACCTCCAAGGTCATGTGGCCAGCATGACGCATCGTTTGTCATTATATGAATGAGCTACAGCTCATCTGCTTCCCTTCTGCTTCATGAATAAGGAGAAGTTATTTAAGAATCCATTCTCCATTTTCATCCGTATACAGAAAACTCTATGGTTTGTGCCAAATTCAGTTAACAAACAAGAATATCAAATTACAATCAGATGGTTAGTACAAAACCAGGAAGAAAACTTTATACTTTTTTCCTGGTGTACAATGTATAGAGAAATGGGAGGAAGGGTTTGAGGCAGAGAGTCACCCCAAATCATGGAAATAATAATAAACCATGCCATGACTATACATAAAGTGATGATCAACCCCACAGGGCAGCACCCTGATGGGAGCATGGCTGGAGCAAGATGTTGCAGCTGAGGTGCTGCTGGACTTGTAATGTGCTCTTCCCTCTCCTTCAAGTGATCTCCTAGTGCTTTGCCCCTCCTATTAGACTTCCCCTACTTGGTTCCAGGCCTGCAATTTTAACCGTGTCTTAAACAGTGTTGTTCGTTCTATCTATCTATCTATCTATCTATCTATCTATCTATCTATCTATCTATCTATCTATCTATAAAAAACTGTTTTCTAATCTTTTCTATGACCTCTCTATAGAATTGCATTTCCACTTCTCAGGGTGTTTGTGCCCCACTCTTTGCTGGTCATGGACCATAATAAAATCTTGTTGTTGTTGTACATAAAGTCATATATTAAAAGTCATCTATCAAGTTGTACTTGATGCTTCTGTGTTTTACCTAAAATATTCTCCTTCTGCAGATTACTGCATACTATGGAAGGACATTTATATGGAGGAGCAGGGTGAGAGTTCAAAAACAAAATATTCTGTTTGAACTAGGCCTCCAATTTAAATCAACACACACAGAATGTTAAAAGAAGAAAATTATGCCAGTATGTCCACTCATAATTGCACATAATATGTACATAACATTGGCTGGCTCAACTGAAAATTTACTGTCTTACATGGCGATTAAGATTTTTATTTGACATATCCAAGGTTTTGGAAAACACAACACTATTTTTAAAATAGCATCAGTAATATCAAACAGGGAAAATACTTGCAAAACAGCCAATTAAAATATCCATATACTGTTACGAACAGAGCCAACAGGAAAGCCTCTATAGCACTCATGGCTCTCTGTGAGTAAACATTATACAAATGTGCTTATTAGTTTAAATAATAACCCTTTTGTTTACAACTTCCAGAATCTCTCACTAAACAGTTGTACACCCAAAAGGTAATTACTTCAAGACCTCAATTTCATAAACCAATAGAAACAGTTAGGGTTCTGTCCCAAAATAATCTTGGAACTAGAGAATTGAGAAATTGAAAGAAAACCTTTTCTGCAGAATCAAGCTTTAGAGATTTACATGTTTAAAACAACATTTTAATTCTTTTGATCACAAAATGGAAACTAAAGTACACATTGCCAATACTCACATAGAGCCTTGACCGAGTAGGAAAGTTACTCTTTCAAAAGCCCTTCTAGAATAATACTATGAAAAACATGCCATTTCAAAATACTCAAATAATCTTACCTGCAACCCATCTTGATACTGGACAGCAGCCTGCATGGCTTCCTCAAGCTTGTCAACACGCTCTTTCCATGATTTATTTAAAGCATCCCAAGCGGAATTTAGCTGTATTTTAAATGGAGACCAAATTTAGTTTAAGATTAAAACCAAATATCTATGAGCTATAAGTGAAAAACCAAAGTTCTCTCTCTGCTTATGAAGCAAACATTATGCAACAGCCTACCTAACATTGGAATAAGGGAAGTAACTAAGTCAAAAGTGTAGCTGGATTCATCGGAGCTGTTATTAAGATGATTTTCTGTTATGACTATGGTCCTGTTCACCCAGGTTTCTGATGGTTTGTTCATCTAACTTCACTTGAACCTATAGTTCTGTGGTTGAATATGCAGCTTCAATGTGTAGCTGGTGTCGTGTGCAAGTTTTTTTTAGCCTATGATGACAGTAAGGTAGACTTGTTATGGAGTTTTCTTTTGAAAATTTGCCTTTGCCTTCCTCTGGAGCTGAAAGATTATGACTTCTTTAAAGTTGATTTCCACAGAAATGTGGATTTGAACCCTGGTCTCCAGAGTCAAAGTCCCAAACTCAAACCACGACACCGGCACTGGCTCACTTGTATGTAGAAAACCTCAAGTCTGATTTCTCTTAGCTTCACTTAAAATGGCCTATGACAGTGATTCTCAAACCTGTGGGTCCCCATATGTTTTGGCCTTCAACTCCCAGAAATCCTAACAGCTGGTAAACTGGCTGGGATTTCTGGGAGTTGTAGGCCAAAATACCTGGGGACCCAGGTTGAGAACCACTGGTCTCTATGCTTCTTGATTTCCAAATGTTCATAGTTCAGTTGTAGGCCAAAACACCTGGGGACCCACAGAGCTATGCCCAAGATAACACAATGCTATCACTAGCTGGAAAAGCCAACACTGTGTTTGATATACTAGTGTTATGTCTCAGTATAAATCATTTTTATATCTTCACTGTGATAACAAATGTTACCAAAAGTAGAGAAGAGATGCTAGTAGGATGGCGCTGTTAGATAAAATTTTATCCTCTGAAAATCTGGACATTCATATGACAATCCCTTCTAGACCTGGATGTATGACATGATCAAGCTCACACAGAAGTGAATGAAGAATGAAAGTGGGGCAGCCTGGCCCACACTGTATTCTGGTACAATCTTCTTTCGCCTTTATCCAATGCTAAAAGCACCCAGTCTTAGCATACTTGTTTGAAAAGTCTTCAATTTCCTTCCCAAATGCTCCTAGCACATTGATTAATCCCAAGAGCATGTCTGTACAACCTGTGGCCCTCCAGTTGTTTTGGACTTCAGCTCCCAGAATTTCAGACCATTGGACAAGTTGGCTACGGCTTCTGGGAGTTGGAGTCCCAAACACTTGGAGGGCTACAGGTTGTGCAGGCCTGTCCAAGAGGATGTAGCTTTCTCCATGGTATTGGGGCATTGCTCTATATATAGGTCATTGCAAGTATTAGGACAACAGTCTTCCAAATTTTCTTCCAGTTCTGGAAAACATCTGGAAAGTTGCATGCTCAAACTAAAAGCCAGTGTATTTTTTCTGATGATGACTCTTAAGAGAATCTTTACTCTTGTGATAAGTTTTTCACTTAGGTGCCATATATCAGTTTTCTCCCCATCTCCCTCTTTCATAGCTCCTTTACACCAAATATTTATATGACTCATACCTCATCTATGCTCTTGTTGACTAAGGGTTTGTCAGGTTCTCCACACGCAGCTATGAGTTCAGAGCCAAGGTTCACAACTGCATCCAGCTCTTCCTGTAATCCATCTACCTCTTCTTTGATAGACTAAAAGAGGAAAAATATCAAACATTGCATGTAATCAGGATTAGAAAACTAAATTAATTTGCAGTGACAAAAACTGTTTACTTCCTGTGGATGTCTAATCTGTGACTATGCAGATCTTAGCTTAGCTACAGAAAGAGTCTCTAACTGTTAATAGCAGATTTCTGTCCACCTCGATAGGCAGGAGGTTGCTGCAGCAGTGACAATTTCTGCCTTTTAGCAATATTCATTGTATTCATTTTTATTCTGCTTTTCTCTCAATAATGGGACTCAAGGCAGCTTACAAACTATTAAACTCAGTATTGATAAAAAAAACATACAAAACATCAATTCACCATATAAGTATAAATCAGTGTTTCTCAACCTGGAGGTCAGGTGCCCGGGGGGGGGGTCGCGAGGGGGTGTCAGAGGGGTCACCAAATGCCATCAGAAAACACAATATTCTGGGTTCTGGGTGGGACGTTTGGCCCAATTCTATCGTTAGTGGGGTTCAGAATGCTCTTTGATTGTAAGAAAACTATAAATCCCAGCAATTACAACTCCCAAATGTGAAGATCTATTTTTCCCAAACTCCACCAGTGTTCACATTTGGGCATATTGAGGATTCGTGCCAAGTTTGGTTCAGATCCACCATTGTTTGAGTCCACAGTGCTCTCTGGATGTAGGTGAACTACAACTCCAAAACTCAAGGTCAATACCCACCAAACCTTTCCAGTATTTTCTATTGGTCATGGGAATTCTGTGTGCCAAGTCTGGTTCAATTCCATCACTGGTGGAGTTCTGAGTGTTCTTTGATTGTAGGTGAACTATAAATCCCAACAACTACAGCTCGCAAATGACAAAATCCACCAACCCTACCAGTATTCAACTTTGGGCATATCGGATATTTGCTCCAAATTTGGTCCAGTGAATGAAAATACATTCTGCATATCAGATATTTACATTACAATTCATAAAATTACAGTTATGATGTAGCAACAAAAATAATTTTATGGTTGCTGTCACCACACCATGAAGAATTGTATTAAGGGGTCGCGACACTAGGAAGATTGAGAAACACTGGTATAAATGATATTTTAAAATACAAACTGATGTATATGCTGATTTAAAGCCATTTAAAATTCATTAAAAGACAGTATGAAAAAATCAACTACACAAAACACTGTACCATTTAGAGGCAACCACAGTCAATCCAGACAAGCCTGATCAAATAGGAATATGTTTACTTGACATCTGAAGGGAAGCAAGGAGAGAACCATCCTAACCTCGCAAGGGAGGAAGTACCAAATCCTAGAGAAGTGGTTCTCAACCTGTGATCCTCCAGATGTTTTGGCCTTCAACACCCAGAAATCCCAACAGATGGTAAACAGGCTGGGATTTCTGGGAGTTGTAGGCCAAAACACCTGGGGACCCACAGGTGGAGAACCACTGGCTTAGAGGAAGGCACAGAGACGTCCCTCTCTTTCTTTTCCACCAAAACAGCCGAAAAGGGTAATGAGGCAGAGAGAAGGGCCCCTCAAAGATCTTAGAGCCTGAACAGACTCATAAAGAGAAATATGGTTCTTCACAACTCGTGGACCTAACACATAAGACATTATATATCATTTTAAGGACTATTCAAGAACAATTTTTAACTTACCTCTGCTGCCTCTTGCTGTTGTTTTACCACTGATGGATCAATCCCAGCTCCTTCTAGTTCTCTGATAAAATCTTGTGTATCTTTAATAGTCGCCACAAGCCCCATGTGATCACACCAGAACTTCTCTGCTAATTCCATGGCATCAAGCAGTTTGGCCTCCCTTTCCTCAGCTAAGGTATGGATATCTTCCCAGATAAAGACCATTTGATCCAGTTTGTCTTGAACCACTAGGAAGCAAAACATACCAGGCAGTTACATGGCCATCAAAATTCAAATCTGATCCTGTGGAAGTGCTTGTTAATATATTGAACTTAGAGTCAAGAAAGTAAATTTTAAGAGACCCTAAGAGTGGTGATTTCAAATATTGCATAACCAATCATTACTACCATAATCATGAAATATAAATCAGAATATTTTTAAAAAGATTTATGTTCTCTCACTGGTTGGCTTCATTTTTTATGGAATAATTTTATATTTTACTATTTTGTTTACTGCAATCACAAAGGGGCATGTTCAGTCTGGTAAATTCTATTACCTTTAGCGGAAATATCCTTATCAGCGCCTTCTGAACGTGCTATCATTTCCTCCCCACGCTGTTTGAGTGTTTCATACACAGGCTGAAGTTTTTCTAGGTCTACAGACACATTCTTATTTTCACTGATCTGTTCTTTAATCTTCTCGACTTCTGCTGAGATTGAAGGTGGCTGCCTCAAACGTTCAACGATGCGCTCCAGGCTCTCAATGGTTGAATCTATCTTGTCATGGAACTGGAAAAATAAATTGGTGGTGGTGGTAAGGAAGGAAATGGGTGAGTGACAGGTCAACAGCAAAGAAGCTGGATCAAGGTTATTGCTGAATAAGTATATTTAATACAAGCATGTGTTAAATCTTTATTCAGCAATAACCAAAGAATGAGCATAAGCAGTTTTTGTATGGAAGAGGGTGATTTCTCATTTTCAAGCAGCTACAAAATTTATGAAAGTACAAACTATATATGCTAAGACCTTTATGCTTCTCAACCAAACTGTCTAAGCAAAACACAGGGCATAATTACACAGACTGATTACATTTTGTACAAACTGAGTATGCCTTATCTGAAATGTTTGGGATGCAAAATGAAATATACACAAACACACACACATGCAATGTGTGCATATATAGAGATGGGACCCCAGCTTTCCCATCACATGTTTTATGTAGAGCAGGGTGGTGGGGATGGAATGGTATTTGTTTGTTCTCCTAAAGATAAGTGGGTATCATACCCCACTGAAGTTAGTAGAGCTTAGTAGAGCTGGGAAGTGAGGCTGGAGAGAGACTGAGGCCTTTTCCATACAGCTGAATAAAACCCCACATTTTCTGTTTTGAACTGGAATATATGGCAGTGTGGACTTAGATACCCCAGTTCAAAGCAGATATTGTGGGATTTTCTGCCTTGATATTCTGGATTATATGGCTGTGTGAAAGTCTGTGAAATGGCAGGAATCCAAGTACAGTACTTGCCTCACACCATTTCACAGATCCTTGCACCTCTCTCCAGCCACATCTCTTTCCAGTCTTGCATATCTCGGAAGCCTTTCCCTTCTCTCCAGGAAGGCTGCCAGTTGCCTGCTTCCACCTTGTAAACAAATGTGTAGGAGTGCCATAGTCACCTTGAAATTGGAAGCAAATGGCTGGAGAGAAAAAGTTTAAGACTATGGGGTATTTGGGATTTCAGATTTCCAGATAAGGGGTGCTCAATCTGTAACCTTTTTTCTTGTCTTCCACATTTGACAGTTTCGTGTACATGATTTCATAAAAGGCAGGGGATGGGTGCTCCTTTCCTGTGTATTCAAATGTTTAATGCAGTGCCTAGTGGAAAGGGAGAGGGAGAGGCTATGCTTTAATGTGCAAGAGCAGGACTCACTAACAGCCCTACCTCAACTGTTCCCAGTTCCCTGGCCTCAGAAAAAAAGGAGAAGTAGTCGTTGGACTCAATTAAAGTGTCTGTAAGAGGATGAGGAATGGAGGACAATGAAAGAAGACTAGCAAACTCAGGAGAAAAGCCAGAAGCTGCACAGTCTTAGAGACGGGGGAGCGAAGAGTCACAAGGAAAGCTGTGAATACTGACAGCAGCTTTTCTGGCTGCCTGACTGGGAAGGTCTTTTGAAAGAGTGGAGCGACTTGGAGGGGGCTGAGGAAAAACCCTGGTCCCAGGGAGAAGGCCCTACCAAGAAGCCAAGGCTCTTCTTCTTCCAACAACCACTTAAAAGAAGCTTGTCATGGCCTCTGTCCTAAAGATACCAACTAGGACTTGGGTTGTAGTCCTTTAAACTTGGTTGAGGATGTGTTGGGCTGAAGTAAAGTCACTTTTTCCCTATCAACACAGCTCTGGCTGTGTTTGAGAGATCATACAAGTGGCACCATTAGATGTACTCCTTTGCCTGGAAAGTACAGGCCCTGTGACATTCAAATACATTAAAAACAGAATGACAACACCCTAAAGTACCTGTTAATGTAGATTTGGCTAAGAGCCAGTGATTGGCCCATACATGGACTTGTGTTTCTTCATTAAAAGTTCAACATGTACTGGCTTTTTATAGAATATATTGTCCCAAGGAAAGCCTTATTATAGGTTGATGGTAACATTCACACGTCTGTCACAGAAATATGTGCCCTTATGTTTGGACAGATAAGAACCTATCACAATGAATTGAGAGTGTTGACAAAGCACAGGTGACTTGCCTTCCTGATAAGCCCAGTATGAACCTTGGATATATTGATTTAAGATAACATCCTTCAGGAGGATTCTAGTTGCTGTTCTAATGAACAATGTTACCTGGGTAGACTGGGAAATGGCTTCATCCAGTGCTTGTGCTCGCTTTTTGACATCTTCTTTAATCTGGCTGTAAAGGGCATCAGCTGCTACATATTTCTCTTGGATTGAAAAACCTTCCCGTGGGCTCAGCTCCAGAAGCTGAGGTCCAGTTTTGTTCATCTTATCTATGTGAGGCTTGTGCTCAGCAATCAACTCTCGTAATTGCTACAGTAAAGGAAAACACTCATCAGCATCATAGCATTGCATTGCCACACTCTTTAGCTTTTCACATTTCCAACAGAATCAGTTGGCAAGGCAGTCTAAACAATTTCCTTTTGCATGCTAAGGTTGATTGGATTTCTCCATAGATGTACAAGTGACTGCCTTGCTTTCAACAAGTGGGTATATCTTTCACACAAGGAAACTAGAAAAGTTGGATCTCATACATTTACAATGATTATATACTATACAATTATGAATTGCATATAATTTGAAGCACAGCAATTTTTGCAGGCTTGAAACGTATTAAATAAGTGGTTCTCAACCTGTGAGTCCCCAAGTGTTTTGGCCCACAACTCCCAGAAACTCCAGCCAGTTTTTCAGATGTTAGGATTTCTGGGAGTTGAAGATCAAAACATCTGGGGGCCCACAGGTTGAGAGCCACTGCATTAGATGATCCTTAAAATTGTATATGATCCTTATACAGCACCAGATGTTTGACTTACTTGTTGATTATTCAACCAACTGTAAGCTTTTATAGCTGTATTTAAACAATTTGACAAGTTTTACAACATTGTTACTTAATAAATCATTTACAGAGATGGATAACTGGCTGAATACTTCTTACTAGTTGTCTTGTGTTAATCTGCCTTCTGTCTACGGTTTCTAAATCTTGTTCTTTAAAGTATCTTGATTGGCAAAAACAACAATTTTAACTGTAAACTGTTGGAAGACATTTCAAAGAACTTAAACTCTTGCTTGCCTCCAAGTTGTAAACATAAAGAAATACATTCACATTATTTGGTTTATGTAAATGATTATTCCTATTCCGTTTCTGAGAATAGCTTATATGCTTAACTAGACTCTCATAGCCTTTTCTTTCACCTTGCAAGAACAATTTCAAACTAAGATTATATTACAGTTTGAGTTAATAACAAAAAATAACATATTTTTGAGCATTCATCATTTTAATAAAAGTGATGCATTTCAGATGGCTTTTTATTAAGACCCTTAGAAGCTTACTCGGTGTTCTTCTTGCTGTTGCTTTAGAGTTTCATATTCAAGAGCTGGTGCTGGAAGCTGTGAGATGACCATTTTTGTTTCAGTTAACCACGGCCAAATCTCTTCATGTGTTTCCCAGAACTGGCTAACCAGCGACTGAGCCCGTTCTAGTTGCAGGTTCCTTTTAGAGTTCATCTGACAGAGAATATCATACTTCTGCACAAGGCTTTCCAGTTTCTTCTGTTAAACAAACAGTAAAAACACTAAATTAATCACATATAGAAGAAAGATTTTATCTCAGAAGATCTTATTCCCTAAACTAACTCTAAGCAATTTGATTTAGAAATATTTGCATGGATTTCTTCAGGAGAAAGCAATCCTTTCAAGTTGACCATCAAACTATACCAGTTTCTTCCATTACCAGCAAAAGCACAGAACACTTAATCTCAATATCTACTCATTATTTCAGTAATAGTAACAGCAACAGTAGATATCATATTCATATAGTAGCAGGGGACATAGAATCATAGAATTATAGAGTTGGAAGAGACCTCGTGGGCCATCCAGTCCAACCTCCTGCCAAGAAGCAGGAAAATCGCATTCAAAGCACCCCATATAAATGCTGGAAGGGGCCTCCCTCTCTGGTGGTCCAAAATATTGTATACAGCTGAGTAAGTTCCTCTTGGAGGATGTGGAGTGGTGACTACTTGTGTATATAGATATTAATAGTCATGTTGATGGATTACCTTCATTGCTTGTTTCTCCTCTTCCGTACAGGTCTTCATAATCTCATCTCCAGATGCAACAAGTTCTTCTATTGTGTCCTTGTGTTTCAAAATCTCCATGGTAAATGCCTAATCAAATCATGGTGAGTAAAAATCTGGTATTATGAGTACTGGAGGCACAGAGCCAAAGCATGTACTGTAATGGGCTGAAAATTAAATGATGGCAGGAAAAGTAATAGGTATTGATTAATACATGGCAGACAACATCGGGTTTGTTTACCTTTTGAACTTGCAGCTGAGCAGTGGTCTGTTCCCGTTCGAGCCTAATATCACCCAGAGACATCAGTTTTTTCCCTGTTTCATCAACCCAGGCTAATTCAGTATTTGCCGCTTGATCAAACTAAAAAAGAAAAAAAGTTTTTATTATAAAAAATAATTCCCATATATTGGCATGTATGAATTTTTGTTTTAAGAGAAGTACAGATTGGGTCAAAAGCCACAAAGCAGTTTCAATATTTAATAATTCCTTTAATTTTTGTTTTTAATTTACAATGCCATAGCACCATATACAGTACATATATGGAATATGTTTACATTTTAGTGAAAATTAAAATCTCGTAAACAGCATCCAACGCCATAGTCTTATATACAGTATATCTATACTTTGTGACTTTTAGCCCACACTGTAAAATCAGATTTGCTGATATGCAATATTATGGTTCAATAGTTGCATGTCAAAGTCTTCTTCTTAAGATTTTTTTTCCGTTTCAGGAGCGACTTGAGAAACTGCAAGTTGCTTCTGGTGTGAGAAAATTGGCTGTCTGCAAAGGCATTGCCCAGGGACGCCCGGATGTTTTGATGTTTTACCATCCTTGTGGGAGGCTTTTCTCATGTCCCTGCACAGGGAGCTTGAGCTGACAAAGGGAGCTCATCTGCACTGTCCCCGAATTCGAATCTCTGGCCTGTTGGTCTTCAGTCCAGCTGGGACAAGGGTTTAACCCGTTGTGCCACCAGGAGCTCTGATGAAGAATAAGGACCTCCAGGTCACTAGCACAACATCCTAATATTAGTGTTAGTCAAAGCCAAGGTCTAGACCAAGTGGATCATTGGTCTGCTTAAATTTTGGACAGCTTCTTATAACCACTGGGCAGTTTATTTTTACTTGAATAAATTCTAAAGCTCTCACACTGACTTTTGTATTAAAATCGGCTTATTTTAGAAATGTCACAATGACATTATACTGGGCACTCTATCCAGAGTTCAAAATTCTTAGACATCAAAGGTAATATTAATGCATTTTATTTTTCTCCCATCACCTCCTGCTGTTGTCTATCTGAAAGATTATTTTCTTGCTTCAGTGAAGGAGTTAATCTATGCCTTTAGAGTCAATAGGTAGCAGAGTAGGAATTACCCCTCAGACTTGACACAAGCATAATGATAGTCCAGTTTTGTTAAGACAACTTAGCAATAGCTCAATATGTTTGTTTAAATGACAGGATGTCAGTCCATGAAGCAAAGTAAATTTACCATGCTGTCTGGAAATTAGATTTTGTATGTGCCCCCACCCCCACCCCAATTCTCAAAGGCTGAAAGGCCACTCACAAGGCTTAGCTATGGGCCAGAACAGCTTCTAGCGAAATGTGCTTGTATTTTGATTGCACCTTTTTACTGTTGTCCCAGTTTACCACTAGAAAAGAAGTCTTCCCCTAAAAGCTCTATGCATTCAAAGCAGTCCCTGGGACAAAAGAAGGAATAAGCATTGGTCTATCCCTGACAGATATCACTATGGTTTTCTCAAGCCATATTTTATCACCCTGTTCAAACCAAGCAATACACATTTGCCTTGTAAGTATGTAAACTGAGTCAGATTAAAATAAAGGACCAGCACATCTGTTATCCTTTCCCTCTCAAACATATAACCAAAACCCGTTTCTAATGCTATTAACTTCTGAAAACCACATCTGCCTTTCCTGAGAACCTGCATCCACTGTACTTCAAACATGTGTTAACTCAAGCTGATGTTTGTCCCACATAGGAGCATAAATTTCAAAAGTTATGGGGCTCGAGTTCACAATTCTTTCTCTAGTGAAATTCCCACTGAGCTCACTCCATGATGCCAGTCATGATACTATGAACTGCTAGACCAAGCTGTAATTTTGTGTGTCAACCAGAAGACAGATGGCTGGAACAATGACTGAATTTGCTTTGGTCTTCAACACATGTCTTAAAACTTTGATCCAGTTCTTTTCAAGCGCTGAACCATGGTATAGAGGCCCAGACATAAAGTAGAACCTGGAAAACTAGTTTTCAAAATGTTTGATTTTTTTAAAAATTGTATTAGAAGCACCCCGAGAAACTGCAAGTGTGAGAGAATTGGCTATCTGCAGAGATGTTGCCGAGGGAATGCCCGGATGTGTTACCATCCTGTGGGAGGCTTCTCTCATATCCCCGTATGAGAAGCTAGAGTTGACAGACAGGAGCTCACTCCATCATGGGGATCCGAACCACCTACCTTCAGATCAGCAGTTCAGCCTGCACAAGGGTTTAATCCATTGTGCCATTGCAGCTCCCAAAATAATTAGTCTGCGGACAATAATCCTTACAAAGTTGAAAAAATAACTCTTTTTGTTATCTGAAACTGTGGCAAACTGTTGCACATTACTATTTTACCATTTGAAGGAAGAATCCCTAAAATCAGTAAGCAAATGGAACAAAAACTAGAGCATTCCTATCAAAACGCCTCTAAAATGCCCTTCTAAAGTAACTAGAAACATTCACTTGTCATGCCAATAAAGGAACTTCCCTTTGAACTCCGTGTTACTTTTGGAATATAACTTTGTAATGCAAACCCTCCAAGGAAAAGGCTGTGGGAAACTACTACATTCCTTATGACTCATTATTTCCAGCATCTGATATAAATACATTTTTCTTTCTCTCACACATAGGATTAAACCAACACGATGATTTATCTTGGTTTTACCTGTTGCGATCTTAAGATGGCAGCATCAGTTTCTTCCACTTTCTGAGTTATACTGTCACTCACAGTCCTATATCGTTCATTGTCTTCCGTTACCATTCTGTCTATCCCTTCTCTCGCTCGCCATGGCACCAGTTCCAGCAAAGCACTGCTGACTTCATTGAGCGTGTCTAACAAGGTTTTGTTGTCCTTTGATTCTTTTTTCAATTCCTAAAATAGGAACATTTAAAATAAACACATTGGCCTAGAAGTGAAACATGTACCACTGAAAGGTTCCACTTGGCCTTCCCCCAGGCTCTCAGTCTTCAATTATTTTATATATTTACTTTTTGCACGGTCTAAGAATATTTTTGTGCTCAAAACCAAAAGCCCAAACATCCCTTCTGTCCTCAGCTTAACTATCTTTGCTTTTGTTAGAGTCATTTGATAGAGAAGATATAAAATGCAAGTTAACATCTGGGTACATAAAGGTCATCTGTTTAGTTCAGTTTCTCTGCTTATATTAATAAATGTCATTGTGTTGACAAATGAATAGGTCAGACACATTTGCACTCCTGAATAGGACAAAAGGGCAATTTTATTCACCTTCTACTTGTGGGAGCCTGCTGGCAACCATGGTAAGCATAATGGTGAACACTAGATATGCGCATTTGGGGGAGAAATTGAATGGTTTTGTGTATCGGCTTTCATTGGGGGCCCGATCCGTTTTTTGTAAGCCTAACAAAATTGGGGAGGGGTTTGGTTTTGCTTCTTTTGTTTCAAAGCCCAAAAATTGGACCATTGGGGGGATTATCATCCACTGATTCCCCTTCCTGGTGTGCGTTCTTCTTACCTGGCACCTGCTGTTTCTACTCTAGAGTAAGAGGCACTCGACTGTAGGCACTGGCAGGTGTGTACGTTTTCCGGGCTGGCCTGCATGCCCCACCACACAGGCACTCTCCTTGGAAAGAGAGTGTGTTTGTGGCAGGGCATGCAGGCAGGCCCGGAAAGCATGAGCGCCTGCCAGTACCTGCAGCCGAGCACCTCTTATATAAGAGGTGCCCAGCTGCAGGCATGCCCCAGCACACTCTCCAAGAGTGCGTATGTGATGGGGCATGCAGGCAGGCTGCATGGCCCGCAACATACACAATCTCTTTCCAAGGCAAGGAGGCAAATTGGGATGCACACAAAAGCAGGCTTTCATATCAAGCAGATTTTTGTGTGGAGAGGGGGCTTCCCATTTCATCCTTCCAAAGAAATAGAAGACACAAAAGAAACTAGAAACAAATTTTGCGTACATGTCTATTGAACATTCAGCAAAAGGCATCATATGAACTCAAAGAAGCAGGGAACAAGAGTCTTTTTAACCTTCCCTGAATTGTGTTATTTTTTAATGGACCTTTCCCCAAATATATGTATTTTGCTAAATTATTGTACGTGAAGTATAGTGCCTGTTCCTTATTTTCTTTAATATAATGAGAATTAGGGGACACTGTTTGAATGTCTAAATTTGGTATTAGTTACTACAGTCTGAGAGAGCATTCATACCCTTCCACCACAAAATGTATCTCAAATTCCTTAGTCGCACCAGAGTGAGCTGGTACTTCAAAACCTGTTATTAAAAGGCTAAATGGGAATTTGAACCAAGGAATCCTCAGTACAAGTACAGCAATCTCTGTACTACAAAGGCGCATGCAGGGCATGAAGTTTCTGGCACTGTGTTTGGTCAAGCAGAAGGAATTTTCTTGCAAGGGCTTATTATTTCTTTGGTGTGACACAAAATTCACATCAAGACCTTGGTCCTGGATCAGACATTACTTTGTTGATGACAAAGGTAACACAGTAATGGTAGAGTCTCATGTGCACCATTTCTCTGGTAATTTACACTACGTAAGATGTAATGTTCAGTCTAAGTTGTGCCATTTGTAGCTGCAAGTGAAAAGCATTTCCTTATGTAGTTTAGTTCGCATCAGACTGAGAACCTCAGTTACTATACTGATTTACCTAACAGCACAGTATCATATGAGCAGTTCTTTGATTGATAAGCCTTTAGTGGAGACAGAACTTAAGCATAAATGACAAATAACTAATTACTTGTAATAAATTATTTTTTCCAATGCTGAAAGACGTAATTAAGTTACATAACTGTTAACAAGACATAATATCAATCTTCCTGAAATATAATTGTAGCTATTTTAATTACTTTTAGTTATGAGTGAGTGACCTCACTAAATGACAGAATAAATTACATGATTCAAGTGCTGGTTCGTGTCTTGTGTTCAGCTGGAGTGGTTTATAAAAAATAAAGTTATGTGATATTTTAATTAAAGTAACAGAGATTTTTGTGAGGGCTTTTTTTTTTTTTTTGTAAAACATCATCCAGAAATTACATTATACTACTTAAATAGTAACCACTTCTACTTTAGAAGCATGCATGAGAGACAGACCTTTTGCCTTTCTTGTGCCTTATTTAATTCTTTGCCTTTGGGGACCTGAGAATCATACGACGACAATTCCACCTCGACTTTGTCAAGCCAAGTGCAGAGTTCCTCGTGGGTACATTGTAGTTGTCCTGACAGCTTTAGAGCTTGTTCTAGAGTCTTGGAAACATCAGAACTAAGCTTAGTGATGTCCTTGTATCTTGCTTTAATGCCTTCCAATTTATCCTGAATAATGATAACTTCATCACCTGCAATTTGAAAGGGATATTATTGCATCAATAAAACAGTGAAGTAATTATGATGTATTTGGACACTTAAGTGCCCAGAAGGTGACCAAAAAAATGTCCAGTCTAATTTATTATTCATATAACATTTTCTTCTGAACATGGAAACTCTCAAAATACGATCTGCATTAATCTCAATGGGTATTCACTGATCTGGTCCATTAAGTAAAATAAATTAAATAAAAACAAATCCATATTTCTGTAAAAGGTCCAGGAGAAGCTCTCAGCACATATAACGCTTTGGATCAGACTTATTTCTCATTGTGGATGAATCCAAGCATGCTGTGATCTGAAATAAGGTTCTAAATTCAGCCTTTTCAAAATGCTAATTTGACTTTAGCAATCAAGAAAAAAAAGCCTCCAATTCTCATCTCCTTGTAAAGTTGATTTTTCCTGCCCTGAGAACTTTCAGTAGTGTTAAATACACTCAACAGTTGCAGTAGCAGTGAACTCCAAAGACCATGCGAAGCCCTTAAGATCCACTCCAGGCCATACCAGCATCCCTCGCTCCAAAAGAGCACTGTCTCAAAAGGGGCTACCTTTATTGTGTTTATATGTCTATGTCCTGTTAAAAAATTTTGAACTAACACCAGCTTTGCAGCTATGAAGCCACAGACCTACAAACATGAAGTACAATATGCCTTATTAGCTTGAGGATGAAACTGTGGATGTGGGATACATTTCCTTCCCCATGTTTCTTGCTGGGGTGGGCAAAACGTAGTCCTCCAGATGATGATGAGTCGCCACTAGGCATGTGCGACCCATGGTTCTAAATGGTTCTAAAGTACTTACAAAACTAGGGGGCGCTGGTGCTTTGATTCTAAAGTGATTCTAAAGTTTTGGTGGTGAAAATTTTAGAACTCTAACAAAACTTTCAAAATTTCACTATAAATGGCAGTTCCTAATTGGTTCTGTCATAAAAACATGGCAAAAGTTTATTATACTGCAAAAAAAAAAAAGTCTTTGTGCAAGGGACATTGCCCTGTAGCGCATTTTGGTTTGTTGAGTCTCCACCAATTTAACAAAGTTTCTGCCTCAAAAAATAAAGTTTCTGGTGTAAAGACCACACAATGAAACAGGAAATAACACTTTCAAACCAGGAACATATTTTCTTTATTATTAAAAATGTTTTATAAAAATTGAAAATTCGCCAAAATCAGTGGATAAGTCAAACGTTCTGAAATTGGGTGAGCTAACAGTGGTGAAATTTTGAAAGAGTTCCTAAATTTTCAGCACCAAAACTTTACAAACATTTTAAAAACAAAGCACCAGTGCTCCCTAGTTTTGTAAGTACTTTAGAACCATTTAGAACAAAGGATTGCACATGCCTAGTTGCCACTCATAGCATTTCTGAACACTGGCTATGTTGGGAAGGGCTGTAGTGAGATGCAGTAATGCACTCTGCCAATCTGTGGGTAAAGCCATGTGATTTTCTCTAAAGTAATGGTTCTCAAACTGTGGGTCCCCAGGTGTTTTGGCCTACAACTCTCGGAAATCCCAGCCAGTTTACCAGCTGTTAAGATTTCTGGGAGCTGAAGGCCAAAACATCTGGGGACCCACAGGTTGAGAACCACTGGTCTAAGGGAATAATGTGAGTTAAGGAACAATGCTGTATGCATCAACTCAGGATATCCTACATTAATAAATCAATCTGAGGTTTAGCAGGTAGCAGAAATCCTAGCATTAAGTTGTAAGATGTATGGGTATAAATTTTCCAGATTTATTTATTGTTGAGCTTGAAAAGCAGTTTGGACCTCGGCTAGGCCATTAAAGTTGCCTCTTCAACTTGCGGTCAGCAAAGAATCTAAGTCCAAAATACATATTTCCCTTTCCGCTTTCCTAGCCTCAAATTATGTATATCTTGAAGAATTAATGGAGTTAGAGACTGGAAAATGTGGAAGATGTTAGGCTAGAAATCAAACATGCTGTATGCCACTGGAATGAAGGTTTCCCACAGTACTACCACGAGTGTGAGGAAACAGCCTGTACAACAGCAGCAGTAAGATTAATCATTCACTTCATTTTTTTTCTAAATTTCATTCACTACAATGTTTTTCTACTAACACACTCCAAACCAGCCTACAAAAAATGAAGGAAGACAGGAGAAAAAACCATAATATCCACAAGACAAATACCAATGGCAGAAAGATAATATTAGTTGTTTAATCAGTCCATTTACCACTTCCTTAAGCTTACTGACAAAGAACAAAAGGGACATGTGGGATGATTCTACACTTCACTTTTGCTGTCATTAAAATGTCAAATGGTTATATACTGTCTAATGTAACACTTTATTGTTCCTTGCCTTATCTGCTGCTAATTGGTACAATAACTTAGTATAGCACTTTACGGCGCCTGCCTCTTTTGCTGCTAAATTGAACTAGAACTTAATCCCCCATCCCTCCATGCCGGACTTTAGTTAGTACTTAGAGCCAGACTTGGGTACCTTGTTGCACTTTAAGACCCCTGCACTTTATGAATTGCCCTAGTGGCATGCAGCCGTGTTGCCTACTGTGTTGCACTTTAAGACTCTTGCACTTTATGAACTATCTAACTGTCGCGGCTGAGACGTCTACTACACTTTACCACTATCAATCTTACTGAAGTGTATTATTATCACCCATGCGGTACCCTATCCCCCTATTTGTATTGTCCTTGGTATTAGTGACTTGTGGAAGGGGCAAGGGACGAAGCGGGCTGGAGGCTGTGGGTAACAATAAGGTGGGGAGGGGGGAGAAAGGGAATGGAGAAGTTGGCAAGAAAAAACTCCAACAAACCAAACAACCATTAATGGAACAGAAATTGAGACCATGGATTTGGATTGCGGCATGGAGGAGGGGAGGTATTCCACTGGCCGAGGGGCCCCCATAGAAGTCGTGGTGGGGAAGGGGAGATGCGGGAGAAGGAGACCACAAATTCGGCCTAATTCGGACCACTCATCTACATTAACAATCCCAAATCGGTCTCCTAGGGTAAATTGGTGTAACCAGGTTGGCGGGTCCTCCGGATTGAAGGTGGTGCTATTGAACGCCAGATCTGTCAACGGAAAAACGACCTTTATCCAGGATTTAATCCTGGATGAGCGGGCAGATCTGGCGTGCATC